AGATCGATTCTCTTAGGCTTGAATTGGAGCAAGTGAGGGATGATTTATCCTCGAAAAAATACGAAATAGAATGTATGAAAAAGGGAATAGAGTCCTCAAAAAACATATACAATCAGACGATAGATTCTTTATTTTCAGCACGGTCAAAATTAATAGAGGTAAATAGGTCTCTTAGGGAGCAGTTAGTGTTAAAGAAAAATAATGAAGTAGATCATCCACCCCCGCCTATAAACTGAAGAGACTCTTCCCAATCTTAACCTGACAATTTCTGTAGGTGGCGCAGAAGTGGTATCATTGTCCTAAGAAATGCCTCTAGTACCAGCTGTTCCTGCCGTTGAAAGTTCCTTAATGCCATATGCTATACTTGCTTTATTTCTCTTATAATTATATGGATCATTGAGAAAAAAATATAGAATTTGTGGAGTACGAACCCAAGAGAAAAAAATATTAATAAAGAACAGATCCCAAAGAGATTACATAGGCCAAACATTTATTATCTCAAATCCTAATCGACTACCATATAAGTACTGGCGCTAATAGGACTTTTTCGAATCTTTTTTGGATATGAGCTAATACCTTTTCTGATAAATCTCTTTCGGCTTGGCGCTTGGACGAATTTATTAAGACTTTTTTAGCTTGGGTCACCTTACATGCTAGTAACCATCCAATATGAATGAACTCACCTCCCTTACCATTATGCCCATGCTGTAGTAAAAATTGATAGTCATCTATTACAATATCCGTCATTTTCTTCTGATCCGCTATTATTTTATGAAATTCCTGTCTATCCTCTTCCGTGATTGGGGGACGGATTTCATTGGATTTGAAGCCTATGTATTGAGAAACTTTTTCCTGTAGTTCGGTCATTATATCAATAAAGCTTATCTTTAAATATGTAGATTTTTTCGGCTGATCGTATCCCAAGGATACGGTTTTGCCAAATTAAAAATACTAATGATTATCCCAATTATCTCTGGGCATATCTGAGGCTGAGCTATATGATCGGAGGTCGTAAGAATAGAGTGATCATCCTAGGCCAGATAGGAATTGAAGTTAGCCAGTATTATTGCACAAGAAAAAATATGTAAATAATATTATATGACGTGTCTTACGACTAAGTTTTCTAGCGGAGGTGTGGAAATTTCAGCTAAGAGTACTCAATAATGTAACCCATCTAAGTACTTTCGGTTACACCCTCAAGATGGAAATACTATAAATTACTAATTTTATCTAGCGCCGTTTCCTTTATGGAAACTATGTGAGGTAAGGCGGGTAGGTCAGCAATTATCTCATTTTTTCGCATGGATGAAACTAGGCTGATTTCTTCTGGAATTGATACATGCTCTTTATGACGCATATAATAGACCAATTTGTGGAAGAATAAATTATACTCTTCAATACACTTTGCAAGCTTGCTAGGATATCAAGCAAAATCAGAGCATATTTTTTCCTTCATTTCGTCATCTACCAAGAGGTTTTTATCTTTTGAAATTTTCCTAGTGCATTTCATAAATTTCTCCCATAATACCTCGACAGGGTTACTTGCCATGAAAATCTCGTAGCTAAGCCATTCACCATAAAATATTTCATATGAGTAACCTATCTTTTGATATAATATTTCTTGCGCTTTTTTAACCGCATGTTCGTAAGCACGCTTATAAGTTTTTCTGCAGGATATCATCATCTTGAAAGTAACACATTTCACTATAATATTCTCTTTTACAAATCTCTCAAGCCATGACTTGGCTTGTTTTGAGCGTAGTCATCAATTTGCTTATATTTCTCATCCGGGTCTTCGATTCGCATGATTTGACTTGAGGGTTCTGGTTCATACTTCTTGTTATACATGATAAATCAGGCACAAAGGCCAATAATAGTTTTTTCGAAATAATAGTATAAATCTAGTTCCTTTCCCAATTCCTTAGCTACATCGGCGAATTCCATTTTTTCACCCTTAGTTGGCATTAATTTTCTACCATGTAAATCAAAAGTGTTTTCAGGGTGAGACACTATATAACTAAAGCGCTCACCTGGTACTGGAATCTTACTATCGTATTTTCCTCTCATTCGACTTATAAATCGCTGAACGGCTTTGTTATCTACATCGGGTTTCCATACATCGGTCTCTATAAACTGCTCGAAATCCCATTGCTTAGGATTGGTTATGGCATCCCTGAGAACGTCTTCAACAATTTTATAGAGGGAGCGCTCATTATTGACATCCCTGACTTCATTCATAATCCGTTCGCCTATAATCTTAAAAAGCTGGGATTTGCCTTGTTTCACAGTATCAATTCCTCTAATGAAGGGTTTCTTCAGACTGAAGTTTACTGTATCTTCATGAGGAGTGCCAAAATATTTTTTCTTCCCAGTGAACACTACTGGGAATAATACTTCTTCATAAGCCATCTTAAGATAATCCGATCTAGTTTTTAGTCTAAGAAAGGTGTTTACTTCATTGCGCAATTTCTCCATTACGACCATAGTAATCTTAACTATTTTGGTCTAGTACTCTAGTTTTGAGATTGTGCCTTTCCCGTTGTTGTAGGTTAAATCACATTCCTCATAACAAGAATCTGGGCAAGTGAGATATAGAGAATCGGTATCACCATATTTTATCCCAAAACCTTTCTTTTTCATGAATTCTGCAACGAGTTTGATATTTTCTCGTCCAGCTGAAGTAACACCTCCGGCGAGTTCTATAAACTTGAACGGGAAATCGCTATTGCCTATCTCACCATAAAATGAATTTATAAACAATTTAATCGCTTTCTGCTTCGAATTCAAAGAATTATGGTCGAAACAGACGGAATCATATTCTTTACTAAAACTATCGTACGATGAACCAATAAAAGGATTCAGGATATCGGCCATTTTGGCATGCTTCTTCTTATCTATTATCGAGGATAAAACATCTTCGATTGCGCTCACCACTGAGAAAGATCCGCCGATGCTAGTCGAATCCATTCTACTTTTAACTTTCCCCATATAGTCCTTTTTCTTTCTGAGAAGTTTTAACTGGGTCTTTACTCTATTCCGCATATTAAGCAAATTTTTTAATATTTTTGGAAACAGACCTTTCTGATCGGATTTATTCTCGTGCCGTATGGTCCATGCTCGTACGTCTCGACCATTAAAGCGAAATTCAATATTGTGGAGTACTTTGTTCTCTCTTTTTAGCGCATCCGCTTCCAAAAGTCTTGTAACCATCTTTTCTGGCGAGAAATTATAGTTCATAATTATGCTAGGATACAAGGAAGCAAAGTCTAAACCCGTTACAGGACGTTTATTCTCAAGACCTTTCTCAGGAGGAAAACATATGCTCCTGGATATTTCCCGGATTCTTTCTGCTCAAAAACTTTCATGGTAAATAGAATATTCTGCGCCTACACTTCAGCGCCTAAGAGATTACATACTTTCTTTCCTATGGCGTAATAATGCGTGTCAAATAAAGTTATATATGCAATCGAAGCAACTTCTCCATAATCATTTATAATATTACATTTGACCATAAGCTCCTGACAACGTAAAGCATCTATAACACAATAATTTACGATTTCATGCATATTTTGGTTGCTAGAGGCAGCCGAAGTCCCATCTTTGGCCTCTGAATAATACTTTCATAATTTACTCATAGGCATATCAGCTTTGCCATCGAGACCACATTCTTCTAAGAAGTATTTGAGTGATGTTTTCTCAGAGCGGGGTGGAGTTGCATAAAACTTAGGTGAACATCGATAGGTACACATCCCGGGAGCTTAAGAAAGGAGGATTCGAACTTCAAAGTTGGGTTGATTTTGATATCGATGGAATCTCGGCCTAATGGTTTTTTGAGACCCTTGTCCACTTTCTTTACCCATTGACTCCTTTGAAAGAAACCATTAGTTAGTGGCTTTCCTCTTCCACCAAAATAATTCCAAGTGAGAATGGATTCAGCATCAGCTTTCTTATGCGGGTTTGCCACATTCGCTGAACTATTCACTTGAGAACATTTAATTTAGTGGCCTTTTCTACAATGAAAGGCCAATCATATCCTGAATCGTTAAAACTGAGATGGATGTCTGGAGCAAAAGATTTCCAACATAAAGCGAATCCCTTTAAGAGATTGATTTGATTTCCGTATATGATTGTGATCCAGCGTTGGTCTGGTTTTATTTCTACATCGACTAAACATATACTCTCTAGAGGAATTGGATCGTCTTTCCAGTGTAGGGTCATGCAGATCATAAAAACTTGAGCTGTTTCATTTTTGGCTTCTGGGACTTTATTACCTAATCCGCGTGAATCGTATATTTCTATATTCCATGTTAGAACCAATGCTCAATTATGGGTAAAGAGAAAAGATGGATAGATTTTGTAAAGTGGTTTGAAATTCTCTATAGGGCGAAAATTATCAATGTGAATATAAAATGCATGTGGGCAGTGATGGGATCTCGCATAGTAAGGTATACTGTAATTATATTTATAGTTGCTTATAGACCCCCACCTGGAAAGTGGTATCCTATATTCTCTCGCAACTTTATGATAATACGTGCCTGTATCGTCTGAAGCTGTCTCTATTTTACATTCGGAATCAACTTTTGAATTGTAGTTTGAGATGATATCAAGAGCAGTAAACCTTTGGTCTTTATTAGGTGTGACAACGTGAAGATACAGCTTTTTTCCGCATGATAACCACGGATAGGATACGCCTTTATATATTCCTTTCAGAATAGACTCATATTTACCGTGCCTCCATTCTTGTTTTTCCCAGTGATAAGTATGTCTTTTATTTTGGATCAGAATTTAGGAATGCTTGCATTATCGGGAATACGAATATCGAAAAATACCTTGATACCAGTAATGGTAACAACTGCTTTCTGGCCGTTAATGAGATACCTATAGAGGCGAAGAATATAATAAGGAATTTGATTAATGTATTCTTTAGCTTCTTCTACATCGGCCGGCATGAATGGAATATCTCGATGGTTTGCTATTTCATCATTAAGAGTTGAAGTCGATCTCTCATCGTTTCTAAGAACTAAATCATCACGAGTTGGAATACCTATCAAGTAATTCCCACCTCCATATCTAATCACCTGGCCTATCATTTTATCTTTTTTGGCTTCTGAGCGAAAAAGGGCAGAGGGCGCGTCAAGGAACTCTGAAAGCTCGGATTGGGTCATGGTATTATATAACAAATATATAGTTCGAGAGAAAGTATATACTCCAGAAGAAAAAAGTTCAAAATGAAAATTAATTCCGAAATATATAAATTGATACATAATCAAACTATTCATAGTTATCAAAAATGGCATTTTATCGATGTCCATATATTCTCAGGACTGGAGAAGTTTGTAATCGGGAGTGCTTCCACCCAAAAGGGTGCCAAATACATCAGAATTCTCCTTCATATATACCTTGCATTGAATGTGGTAAACGAACTTATTCCAAATATAGATTTTGCAATTCACATGCTAAAAAGCACCGTAAAAGGGAACAGTACTATCAGAAAAAGCTGATTAAGATTACTTCAGCAGAGATACTAGTAGGTAATCTTAGAGATAAACAAAAATGATACAACTTGATACTAGTGTCACGGGAAAAAAAAGCTTATGACAGAGCTTGTGATGCGAACGATAGGCTCTTTAAGAATCCTAGCCTGAAAGAAGCTTTTCTTAATTAGTGTCACAAGTGTCACGAGCGTTATAGGAAAAAATCGAGTTTCTTAACTTTTTTATTTTTTTTAGCATCGAATTTTCGGAAAATCTCTTAATATTGTTAAGGGTTTTTATATCACACATATACTATAGAGATAGCATAGAATTTTTTTTTTTCCTAAAAATTACTACTTTTTACTTGTGACACTTGTGACACTAATCAAGAAAGAAATAAAGAAGCCTAATAATCTCAAGAAGCATAATGAACATGCCACAGGTTGCGTCACAGGTTAGTATATGAAACTTATGATACTTATGACACTAGAAAAACATAAACAAGTTTATGGTTGACATATATATCTTCTAATAATATAGCAGAAAGATACATATAGCAGGATGGCAAGAGAATCGCGAATAAATATATTCCTAATAGGTGATATTTAGGGTAGCTTTCCGCGAAATCATTATATAAAATATTGGCAGAAGGCTACCCTATCACTAGTATGTGCTTGGGCATATATGACATCTAAAGTAGACAAATGCACAAAAAGTGATAGTGACCTGGTAAAAAAATTTACTAGACCACTAGGGTAGATTTTTTATAGGACAAGATGTGATATATTTTCTGAAGCGCTCCGATCGATAACACTGTTAACGGAGTTTTTAATTCAGTGCTCCAATTTGTGATCATTTATAAAACGAATGTATTTATTAAATATTTCACGAGGGTCACTAACCCGGCAATTAAGCTCAGTACGCCCACGGCATACCCAATATTTTTGAAAAAACTATTACACACCGTAACGATTTTTATATCACGTGATAACTTAGAATTTTTTTACTATATTTCAACATTCTGGCGGGCAACCAAATAAGCACAAAGGGAAAGCACTCCAACATAGAATCTAGCACCTAATCAGGCGCAGGAGGCCCGCATCCTCAATATAAAACTAGATATCTAAACAGCTACAGAAAGCCAGTATCAACAATATAGAATTTATCATCTAAACAAATCAGGAACAAGAAGAAAGCGAACACCATTAGATTATGACATCACCATTAAATTAAAGGACTACATCCACCATTAGACTATGAAGTCACCGCCATATTATACAGGAAACAGTTAAAATAATGTTATAAACGCAAAGGAGATACCCGTACGTAAGTTATGAAGTCACCATCAGATTGTGATATTAGGTTATGAAAATTACCACCAGATTATTTGATTATGAAATTACTGGCAGATTATGAAGCTACCACTATATTATGAAGCTACTAGTAGACTATGAAGTTACCATTATATTATGAAGATACCGGCAGACTATGAAGTTACTATTATATTATGAAGATACCAGTAGACTATGAAGTTATCGCTATATTATAAAGTTACCAGTGGACTATGAAGTTGCCTTCATAGTTTAATATAAGTCGCCGGTAACTTCACGATATAATTATATCATGAAGTTACCGGCAACTATTTACAAAATTATTATTATTATTTTTTTTTCTAATATAGGATATTTGTCAACTATAACGGTATCTCTACTCTGAACTATGTGAAAATTCCATGCTGAGTTCAGCTTGGTATAAGTGGAAATATCAGGAGTTGGTTTATGTAAAGATTCTTCAACTAACTTTGAAACATCAGCTGGAGTATAACGTGACCATGCACCTACATGCAGTAAAATTTGAGCCTGAATATATCCAGCAAATGGACCTTCGATTGGCCATTCAAAATAGAATAATTTTGTAATACTAGATATAGTTTTTACAGGTACATGATTACGTTTTAGATCCAGACAAGCAATAAAAGTTCCACTCAAATTTTTAATTGCCTCCTCAATTTTCTCACCACCATCTAAATTATAGCCAACTCGTATATATCACTTGATAGCATGAGCTACCTAAGAGAAATAATTAGCTAGTCTGTTCTCAAGATTTCAAAATAATAAAAATTTTAGTTTATAAATTAAATTCAGATTTACCTGTGCATGATGAGAGTTAACACTAGTTTTAGCCTCACCAGATTCAAGAAAATGCCATTCACAAACATCAATATTATACCATTGATTCTAATTTGAATGGTCATTAATTCTGAATTATGATAGTGGCCGCCGTTATCAGAAAAATTTTGATCCACTTTAGTTTTGGATTTAGTGTTTCAAAAACTGCATCAAAAGATGATGCCGTGAACTAGACGTCTTATTTAGTGTCTGTAGACCAGTAATCAAAAGCTTGCACATCAAGTTGTATGAAATCACATTTTGTAAAAACCAAAATAGTATGAAGCGTCCATCCCTGTTTGCCAAAAAAATTTTCTTTTATTTC